CCCCCCCCCCCCCCCCCCCCACACACACGAGGGCGGCCCGGCCCCTGTCCCTTTGGCTGAGTGAGTGAGTGAGTGAGTGAGTGGGTGAGTGCGTGCGTGTGTGTGTGTGTGTGTGTGTAGGAGGCGTCATGTGCGTCGCGTTGACGTGATGGCGCCCTTCATGACGCCCACAGAGTTTGTGGTGGTGCTATATGCCTTCGCACGAGTCAGGTCAGGCCAGACAGACCTGGCCGCACGTGTGTATGTATGTCTGTTTGCATCTGCGTGTGTGTGTCTGGTTGTGTTGTGTGTGTTGTGTGTGGTGTGTATGATAGGTATCGTGACGAGCGTCTGGTGCGGACGGTGTCGCCGTACATCCTCAAGCACATCGACGCCTTCACTGTCAGAGGTAACTGGTGGGTTGGGGGGGTTGGTGAGGGCACATACAACACACGTGTGTGGATGTCTGTGTGTGTGGTGCAGGTCTGTGCCTGGTGCTGAATGCGATGCGCAAGCTGGAGGTCCGGCGGTTCGACACCATCGAGCTCTGCGTGCAGCAGGTAGACGCACGTAACGTGCTGCAGACGCGCAAACGGCATCAGGTGTGTCTGTGTGTGTCCACCTTTCCACGCAGTTGTGTCTGCACATGGGTGAGTGCGGCATCCACGAGCTGGCCCTCTCCGCAAACGCACTCGCCTTCTTCTACAGCTACCACACAGGGCAAGCACTCACACACACTTATACACAGAGCCATACCACCATTGTCTCTCTCTCTGTCTGTCTCTCTCTCTCTCTGTGTGTGTGTGTGTGTGTGTGTCTGCAGGTTTTGGCTGAAGCTGTTGAAGCGTCTGCCGTATGTGGCCACGCGGGCGTCGGCACAGCACGTCAGCATGATCGTGGGCGCGTTCGCAAGGCTCGACATCAGGTAGCCTGGCCTGTGACATTCATGGTAACATGCATACAATCTGTGTGTGTGTGTGTGTGTGTAGGGATGGGAACGCGCTGCTTCTGCTGGCGCGGGTGGCGTGCAACCGAATTGACGACTTCTCACAAGTAATGTGTGCTGTGTGAGATTCATTTATCAGTGTGTTTTATGTGTGCAGGAGATGCTGGCTGTGACTGTCAACGGGTTCGCCAAGCTGGACTTCAACCACCCCAAACTCAACAGATACTTCCAGTCGGCCGCCGACGCATACCTCGACAAAGTACGCAAGCATGGTTGTGTCTGCCACACACGCTCATCTGTGTGCATTTGTGTGTTTGTGTGACATCAGGCTTTGGCAATGGAGTCGCCCGAAGACCAAGTGTCGGGCAGAAAGGTGTGTGGCCTGCATGTTTTGCGCACACACAGCCACTCAAGGGTGGATGGATGGATGGATGGTGCCCTGCGCTGTGCTGTACTATGCCTGTGTGTGTGTGTCTGTCAGCACAACGTGTTTGACGTCCAGTCGCTCACGCTCATTCTCCACTCGTGTGTCTGCCTCACTGGCGCACCCACAAAGGCACGTACACACACAAACACACACATGGCTGAATGGACACACACATCACGTCCCAACTGTATGATGTATGTCTGCGTGCTGCAGCTGATAGAGAAGGCGCTGACGCTGCTGGCGCCGCACATGGACGACATCAACGGCTTCAAGCTCAAGAAACTCAAGCCGGTGGAAGTCACCCTCAGACTCATACACCCAGGTGTGTGGGTGGGGGGGGGAGGGTGCCTAAACCTGTGCCTGTGCCTGATAGCATGAAGTTGCCCCCGCGTGTGTGTGTGTGTGTCAAGAGTTCCGCGCGAAGCTCCCAAGGCCACTGAGGGACTTCCTGGACAAAATCAAAGAGGCAGAAATGAAAGTCCGCACACTCACACGCACACGCACACGCACACACAGACGAAGAGGGTAGACATGTGTGTCGTCTGTCTGCAGGATGTCCGTGAGTACGGCAGCCGCTGGGCCTACGAGGTGGCGTGGACCTTCAAGCAGATGGGCGTCGAGATCGAGCGGCGCATCTTCGCCGACAGCTACTGCATGGACTTCTACCTCCCCCAACAGAAGGTCGTCATCACGTGTGCCGGTCCCTTCAGCTACTACCTCGACACCACACACCGCACCGCCTTCTCGAAGCTGCAGCAGCGGCTGCTGGAGGCACAGGGCTACAAGGTCTTCGTCCTGCCGTATTTCGAGTGGAACGAGCTGGCCACTCCGGAGGACAGAATGAGATACCTCTGGGCACTCGGTAAGGTTCCCCGCCCCCAACAGACAGGCAGACACCGCAGTGTTGATCAGGTCGTAAGGCGGCAGCGTCGATCATTGAGGACACGGCTGATGTGGAGGGGCAGCAGCTGGGGGGCGTCGGGGAAGAGGTCTTCGGCAAGAGGGAAGACGACGACCAACAAAACACAGAGGTACGTGGGGCGACCCACCACGCCGCCTGTCTCATGCCTGTCTGCCTTGGTGTGCAGAGTTCGATGCACCCGACCATTGTGGATGGCCTCAGTGATCTAAGCGACTTGAGCGACTGTAAGACAGCAGAGAAAGAGAGAGGGAGAGAGAGAGAGAGAGAGAGACTTCTACACCCATCCATCCATCCATCCATCCATGGATGCATCTGTGTTTCTCCCTTCCTGATTCAGCCGGCGGCCTCTGGTCCGACAGCGAGGAGCCCCTCAACGCATCAGACAACGACGAGGCTGCCGGCACTGACGCCGACACCGACACCACCACATTCAAATCACTCACCAGGCAGCTCCGCGCATCAGCAGCCGAGGGAGACGACACGCAAGACGATACCGTTGATGCAGATGACTCCACAGACCGGCTATGGCACTCCCTCTCACGGAAGATCGAGAACACCCACGCAGTGTCTGTCAACAGCTCGACGGACTCACCATCACCACCATCTGCAGCCCGGCTGCCTGCCTTGTCGTCTCCATCGCGGCCGCCCCCCACCTCCCCATTCGCAGATGAGCCGGCAGCAGCAGACCCACAGCACCGGCGGAGGAATGGAGAGCGGCCGTTGAGTCCGAGCCGATTGGGCTCGATGTTCCTGGCCAGTGCGATGAAGACCGGCTCGCGAAGACGGGAGTGGCAAACCGCTACACAGGTTGATAGAGGATGTGGTGCTGGTGCCGGTGAGGGCGAGCCGGTTGATGCGGGTGACAGTGTGCCTGTGCGCGAGAGTGACGGGGACTCATCGGTGGAAGTTCGGACGGAGAGGCTGGACATCCCTGTGTCGAGATCCCTTGGTGAGTGACGAGCCCACACCACACACCTCTCTCTTGTGTAGTGTACATCCGGCCCCGTGTGTGTGTGTGTGTCTGTTGGATCGATCAGCGTCCCAGCAGGAGCGGCTGCGTGTCGAACGGGAGCAGCAAGACAGTGACAGTGGCCCTTCCCAGCAGGAGCGTGAGTCGACAAAGGTGCCTCGCGGCCGCAGAGGCAGGAAAGCCATCGTCGGGGCGCTCGAGCAGCACTTCAAGGCAAGCTAGCTACCAAACCACACCACAGACAAGCGGTCAATCCAGTGTGTGTGAGTGTGTGTGTCGCAGGAGCCGAAGATCGTGTTCGATGGGTCGAAGTTCGTCCGAGTGTATGAAGGCACAACACAGTAGAGGGTGGTGTGGGTGCAATGTGGTATTTGCTGCGGGCACATGGCGAGTGATTGAATGTGTACAGCGTGTGGCCTGTGACAGAATGGATGAGACGGTACGCGTTCGATTGGTCGACACATTACTGCACAGTGCATGCGAATGGACTCCTCATGGACTTATGTGACGTGCCCGGCGAGACCAGAAATCATCCGCCACACAGTGCTGTCTGTCTGGCCAGCGATGATGAGACACCGGCAGGGCCTCCCGAGCCGCCAAACTTATTTCCCCTCCTTCGTCTATCATCGTCAGTTCGTGAGTTGGAAATGGCACTGTGCAGTGGGAAGATCCCGCTACCCCAATCCATCTTGGAAGGGATGGTTTGGTTTGCCTCAAACCCAGCTGAAAGTTAAGCATTTCATGAGAGACCGACGGACTCTGCCTGTTCGCCGGTGGACAGTAAAACTTCAGGAGTGAGACAGAACGGCTCCAACCAAAAAGTTTCCCCCCTCCTCAGCCGTGTGTCTCAGGCTCGCTCAGTCGCGTTGTCAGAGTGGCGAGAAAGGGGGAGCGGGGCGGGACCCCCCCCCGCTGTGAACTGGGTGGTGAACCGTGTGAACCGGGGGAGCAGCAGCGGTTTCAGGAGGCACCCTAGGCGTGTGAACCGGGGCGGTTCACAGATGTACAGAAATCTCGAGCACTTGGTCAGACCGCCATACGAGTGCCCTCTGGATCCGGGAAACCTTCGCTACTTCCAGTGGCGTTATGGCGACGACAGCACACCAACCCTCACCTTTGATCTGACTGGCTTCATCTCGGCGGGCTATTTCCGCACCGTTGGAGACTTGAAGACGAGTCTGTACAACGACAGGCTGCTTACGGGCGCCACTGGCCCCGGTGACGTGCAGTTCATCGGCCATGAGAACGCTCAGGACAGTGACGCCATCGAGAAGGAGTTCGGCGACGAGTAGGCGTGCATGAGTTTGGTTGACCAGAATGCACTGCTCCCGGCAGAACACTACATACTGTGTGGCTGACTTGTTTGTGTGTGTGCAGGGGCAAGAGTAAGGAGAATCCCTTCATCGTGAAGCTGCTGCAGCCACTGCCGAAGCGTACGTTGCAAACACGGGGTGACATCGAGACACTCATTTATGCGCGGCGCCCGTGTGTGTGTGTGTGACCCTCAGGATCCGAGGTCTTCTCGCCAAAGGAGCACGTCGACACACAAGAGACTGCTGCCAGACACCACAGCTCTCCTGAGGGCGGTGAGGCGTAGAAGGCTGCAGCCTTTTGCCGTGCGTGTGCGCATTGCATTCGTGACTGTTCTGTTTGTTTGCCAACCAGTGCAGTGACCGACAGAGACATTTTATATGGCAAGTCATTTCTTTGTTGGCGCGGGTGGCATGCATCCCATCCGGGGCTGACGTGACGTGACAGTATGGCATGTGTGTGACATGACGTGGGCGGGGCTCGTGGAACCTTTGTTCAATATGTCGCTTCACTCACGTACGTGTCCTCATTCAATGAGTATCTGTCCACCATCCATCCATCCATCAACCCGTTTGCGCCGCTGCGATGCGACCGAGCCGAGCCGAGCTGGACAAATGTGCACATGACATGCACACGACACGCACAGCGAGTAGGTGCCATCACGGAAGACAGACCTGGCTATATACACACACACACACATACTTAGATAGACACATCGATAGATAGATAGATATGCCTGAATGGCTATGCAGTGATGAGTGATGAAATGGATGGAATCTCTTTAGAGCAATGCACGACGACAAAAACGGTCAAAGCATCAAACACACCTAGGTAGGTGAGGCGTATAGTGGATGATGGACACCTATAGCCAATACTCCAGATAGCACCCACCGTCGCGTCAACACTTAAAACCGCGCCCCAGACCAACCGTCATTCCAACGACCAACTCATTCCTCGTCATCCTCGTCGATCGTGTGAATCTGCTCCACCCAGTGCCGAAGGTTGGGAAGCGTGTCAGAGTGCACCGCATCGCCATTGCAGTAGGGACATCGGTACTGCGGCAGCGGCAGCGGCTTGTCCTTCTTGCCCCTGGTGCGGTTGCGCTGCTGCACCCGCGCCACCTTCTGGTCGTGACGGGCCTTGTACTGCTGGTGGCAGTGCGCGCACAAACACAGATGCCTGCAGGGGACGAAGCCGAAGGTGGCCGGGCCGTGCTCGCCGTAACACACACAGCACTGGCCGCTTGGCTGAGGCTGAGTGGTGGGTGGGGCAGGGGCAGGGGCAGGGAGAGGGGGTGGAGGAGCCGACGAGCTGCTGGATGGGGGCTGCTGCGACGACTGCTGGCCGCTCATCTGGGCGAGCCTGAAATGGGAAACGTACACATCTTGGCATTTGGTTCGTTTGGTGGTGCCTCTCGGCTGGCTCACTGTTGTCTCATGGCTTGCATCTCGAGCTGCATCTGCAGCATCAAGTGATACATATCGACCTGGCCCTCGGAAGACCTGCAGACACACAGCACACACACGATTGATTCTCCTCCTGGCACCTCTCTGTGCCGTGTTTCCCCACCCATCCATTGGCAGCAGACGGGATAGAGAGTGTATCGTGTTGGTATTCATGTTGGTGTTCTTTCCATGCTTGGAACCACTCGGCAAAGGTCTTTCTGTCGCGAGACCGTCAGCCGAAGAGGGTTTAGCGAATCAAGAGCAACAGACAGACATTTCACGCACACGCACAATGGTTCGATACTACTGATGACATCTGTGAGTCTGTGTATGCGCCTGTGTTTTTTCTCGCCGTTTCTGACACTTTTGAACATGGTTTGTCAGCGGAAAGACCTTCCTCTATCACCATCATAACAAGCACACGAGATCGTCTCGTGATTCATCTGCTTTTCAGCCAGCACCTATGATTCATCTGCTTTTCAGCCAACAGCAGCACTCCACAGTCAGGCTGAGTGACGGCACGATGCGCAGCGAGAAAGGACAGCCATGCATGTGAGGCATTTTCCAATCCATAGCCGGAAAGCAATGCATGTGTGTGCGCATGTCTGTGTGGTGGCCCGTATGTGTCCTGGTCCGTGTCTATGGTGAAGTGACGCGACCGATCGACCGACGGACGCACCCAGGGCCATTAAATACCATCCGTTATCCGTCCCATTCACCGAAAGTTGCCTGAGATTCTCCTGCCGTCAACATGCTGGCCCTCGTGCTCATCCTGTTGCCATTTTATTGCCTGAGCCACGACATTTCATCCAGTGAGGTTGATGCCTGCTACTGCAATGAGGGCGCCTGCGCAAACAACGTCTGCGACAACTGTCGCTTCGAGCACGGTAAAAGAGCGACGTTGCAGCTGCATGCTGGTCCAACTGACGTCTTTCTGTGCACTGCAGATGGCCGATACGTGTGCTTCAGCGGTTGGAGTGAGCAGCAGTGTCAGGGCAAGGGGTACTCATGGTGCGCGGGCAAGAAGCACGAGGACGACAAAGACGAGAAGCTGAAAGACCCCTGCTACTGCACCGAAGGCGCCTGCACCAACCAGAGGTGCGACAACTGCAACTACGCCTATGGGACGAACGGAGAGAGGAGGGCCTGCTACTACGGCTGGAGCCAATGGTACTGTGACATGCTCGGGTCGCCGTACCACTGGTGTGGAGAGGGGACCGAGGCAACTGTCGTGCCAACATGGGAGCCTGCAGAGCCGATCACCGAAGAGCCAACAGCCCCGCCGCAGAAACCGACGACGGCTGAGCCTACATCCGCAGAAACGACCACACGTCAGCCGGCTGTTTCTGCGAGACCCCCAGTGGCCACGACCCAGCAGCCAGGAACGACTGCGGGCCCTCCCGTGCCCACCACAGGCGGGCCGGCCCCGGCACCGAAGCCGCCGCTCGAAGGCGAAAAGCCGTCTGGTGCGGGGGGACACTCGCAGCCGCTCAGAGTGAGAGACAGGGAGGATGTGTGTGTGTGTGTATGTCTGTGTGGCAGGTGGTGCAAAGACGTCGATCGAGCGGGTGATGGCTTACTTCGGCAATGTACGCAGAGACACGGAAAGGGAGAGACACGACTTGGGCGCAGCGCACCTTGTGTGTGTTCGGTCCAGTGGGCCATCTATGACTCGATGCCGTATTCGCGGAATTTCAAGCCGTTCGACATGGAGCCCATCCTCGACGGCGTCACACACGTGCTTTACGCATTCGCCGACCTTGACAAAGACTGCAAACTGGTGAGAGATCGACCAGAGAGAAGCGGTGTATATAACTGTCTGTGTCTCTGCGTGGGGTCGGTGTGGGCCACCTTCATGTCATGCAGCGCTACACCGATCCTAATGCTGACATCCAGACCGCCTACCAAGGGCAGTTCCCTGGCATGCCCTCGTGGAAGGAATCCGGTTAGCAACCTGATTGACTCACGAACAAGAGGCTGATCAACCGGTTGGTTCTATGCGTGGATGCCTGCATAGACATGGGCAACCTGAAAGCCTTTGAGATCCTCAAGCAGAAGCACCCTCCCCTCAAGTTCATCTACTCTGTCGGCGGCTGGTCCCTCTCCGCCCAGTTCTCCAAGTGCTCGGCCGACAAGGCTCTTCGCGAGAAGATGGTCGCCGATCACGTCAAATGGGTGGAAGATCATCCTATCGTTGACGGCAGGTGACTGCCCGTATGCACCTATTGGGGCGACATTCGCATTATGTGCGTTGTTTCAATACAGGCCTTGACATCGATTGGGAGTATCCCACCTGCTGTGGTGACTGGATTCTCGGCGACCCCGCGGGTCTGAATGCGTGTGGCGCTAGGCAGACGGCGGATCCAACAGCCGACAGGCCGTCAAGGCCACTGGCGAGCCCACCTGCAGGAAAGATGTAAGGGTGGATGCACTCGACTGGCTGCAGTGATGGATAAGGCCGGTCTTCCTGTCTGCTCGCGTGTCTGCAGGACTGGAAAAACTACGTGCTCTACCTCAAAGAGCTCCGCGAGGCACTCGACGTGTCAGCAGAAAGAAGAATAGAGACACGGACACTTCGACAGCTTCCATGTCTGTCTCCTTCCTTACACACACACACATGCAGGAAGTTCCCAAATGATCACAAAGAGCTGTCGATAGCGGTCGGCATCACGCTGAAGATGCGCACCACAAATCCCGACGACCCGCTGGCCAAGGTCTACACTCAGCTGTGCGATGTGCTCGACTCGCTCAACCTCATGACCTACGACATCCATGGGTCCTGGGAGCGCACCACCAACTTCCAAGCGCCACTTCAGTACGTCTGTCTGTCAGATTAGTCAAGCAACACAGAGACACATGCCCATCTAGTTGTGTTGATTGGCAATGATTGCAGCTTCGACGAGAGGGACCCCTCCTTGGCTGAGTTCCGCCGCCTCACAATCGACGCCATCGTCAAGGAGTTCACGGACACCTACAAATGCCCACCCCACAAGGCACGCACGCACGCACGCAACTATCAAACGTCTGTCTGATTGGCTGCACTGATGTGTCTGTGTCCCTTGTTCGCCTCTTTGGGTCTGCCGGCAGCTGTCCCTGGGACTTCCCCTGTATGGTCGCAGTTGGAACGGCGTGTCCCCAGGGCCCAACAATGACGGCATGTACCAGCCGGCCACAGGAGCGCCCCGCCCGCCCAACAGCGGCCCAAAGCCATGGCCTGCAGGCGGCAAGGTCAGACATTGTGCGCGACACGTGTGTGTGCCTGTTTGCATTGTCGCTCGGCCTTGTGCGTTGCTGCCTGCATGTCGCTCGTGTGCAGGGGAGTGAGCAGACGGGAGCGACGATTGAGCTGGGCCACATGTCAGTGTGGGACATCATCGACAACTATGAGGACAAGAACGGCTTCAAAAAGTACTACAACGAAGCCACACAGACTGCATACGTCTACAAGTCAGTGAAAGGGGGAGAAAACGGGAAAAGAGACACGCACACCATTGCCCAATGCTCGCGTGTCTGTCTCTCCTCGGCTATCTATTTACAGCCCCAACACGAAGATTTGGGTTGGCTACGATGACGAAAAGGCCATTCTTGCTAAGGTAATCATTCGATCGACGCGTCGGCCATTTCATGCGGAGACAGAGACCAGTGCTGTACGGTCCATGTTGCAGATGCATTTGGCGCACTCTCATTCGCTGGGCGGCGTGTTTGTGTGGCTCATCGACGACGACCGGCACTTTGACGTCTGGAACGAAATGCACAGATTCAGTAAGCCAAGCCAAACGGGATACACATGTCTCAATTGGCTTGGCTGTGAGTGCAGTGGTCTCCAAGAAAAAGGAAGGTGCATCTTCCCTGACAGAAGAGGCGTCAGCAGCCCACGAGACGGTTCATGTGCACGCTTCTGGTCTGATCCGCCGGCATGCTTTCGGACAGTAGGACGTACCTATGTGCTTAGGTGCGGTCGGTGAGTGCTCCATCTGTGTGTCTGGTGTCAGTAGGGCCTTTATTGTTTTTTTAGGCACAGCTGTCATGGATTGGAGTCAGGGGAACAATCCGTGAATGCCCTGTGTGTGTCTCGAGCTCATTGGTGGCATGTGTGCGGCGTCTCTGACCGAGAGTCTCAGAGAAGCATCCCACGCAAGGCACACGGCAGGCTTAGATGTTCGTGTCAATTTGTCGCTTCACTCACGTACGTGTCCTCATCCAATAATATCTGTCCGCCATCCATCCATCCATCCATCAACCCGTTTGCGCCGCTGCGATGCGACCGAGCCGAGCCGAGCTAGACAAATGTGCACATGACATGCACACGACACGAACAGCGAGTAGGTGCCAGCACGGAAGACAGACCTGGCTATATACACACAAACACACATACTTAGATAGACACATCGATAGATAGATAGATATGCCTGAATGGCTATGCAGTGATGAGTGATGAAATGGATGGAATCTCTATAGAGCAATGCACGACAAGACAAAAACGGTCAAGGCCTAATGGATGATGGACACCTATAGCCGATACTCCACAACAGCACCCGAAGTCACCTCAACACTTAAAACCGCGCCCCAGACCACCCGCAGCCCACCGTCCATCCACCGATCAACTCAACTCATCCCTCGTCGTCATCCTCGTTGATCGTGTGAATCTGCTCCACCCACTGGCGCAGGTTAGGAAGCGTGTCAGAGTGCACCGCATCGCCATTGCAGTAGGGGCATCGGTATTGCGGCAGCGGCAGCGGTTTGTCCTTCTTGCCCCTGGTGCGGTTGCGCTGCTGCACCCGCGCCACTTTCTGGTCGTGACGGGCCTTGTACTGCTGGTGGCAATGCGCGCACAAACACAGATGCTTGCAGGGGACGAAGCCGAAGGTGGCCGGGCCGTGCTCGCCGTAACACGCGCAGCACTGGCCGCTTGGCTGAGGCTGAGTGGTGGGTGGGGCAGGGGCAGGGAGAGGGAGAGGGAGAGGGGGTGGAGGAGCCGACGAGCTGCTGGATGGGGGCTGCTGCGACGACTGCTGGCCACTCATCTGGGCGAGCCTGAAATGGGAAACATACACATCTTGGCATTTGGTTCGTTTGCTGGTGCCTCTCGGCTGGCTCACTGTTGTCTCATGGCTTGCATCTCGAGCTGCATCTGCAGCATCAAGTGATACATATCGACCTGTCCCTCAGAAGACCTGCAGACACACAGCACACACATGATTGACTCCTCCCCTGGCACCTCTCTGTGCCGTCTTCCCCCACTCACCCATTGGCAGCAGACGGGATGGATGCGCTGTTCGATGATGCCGCCGTTGCTGCTGCTTGTGCTGGTGGTGCTGGGGGATGGTACCCTCTGTCCTCATCCTCTTCCCATTCGAATATTGGCGGCGGGGGAGGCACATGCATGTCATCGTTATCGTCATTGGCGTCGTCGTCATGGAATGGGTCGGCCGACGAAGACGAGGGCCCCCCAGCAGCGGCAGCAGCAGCGGCAGGGACATCAGGAGAGCCACGCAAGGGCGATAGCAGTGGGAGAGGGGCGGTTGAGCCAGGCGGGGAGAGAGGAGGGGGAGGATCCGGTGGCAGCGGAGGGATGCCATCGAGGTCGCTGCTGAATGGGCCATCATGGCTCACGGGGGAGGGACTGCATGCACACCGAAAGACGAATACCGCACTTCATGCGATGCACCTGTCCGCATACTTTGTCTCACGTACTGGGGATTGGCCGGTGGCTGCGATGACGACGGTGCTGGATCGGCCGACGAAGAAGAAGCAGAGAGACTGCACACAGACAGACAGACAGACAGATCAAAACGGACGGAACGGTGATCACACCGCACATATGAATGCCCGCCACAACCCATCTCACCTCGGCCACTCGTCTTCGAATGCTTTCTGCTGCTGCTCCTGCTGGTGGTCGGCCGTGTTGACTGTCTTCAGCTCTTGGGGTGACGGAAGGGTGGAGCAAGGGGGAGGGGAGAGGGGTCGGGGAAGCGGATGCGGCTCGTCACCAAACAGCGACAGCGACATCAGGCAGCTGCCCGCACCACCACCACCGCTCCCCACGGACACAGGTGGGTGACAGGGGCGCTCCGGGACGGCAGGTGGGCCGCGAGCCATCGGTCCACTCCCACTGCCATGTGGGGGCTTGGGCGTGATCATCCCCTTGGCGAAGGGAGCCAGCGAACCTTGCCCGAATCGAGGAGGGGCCGCTGTTTGTTTCTTCTTGGTGCCGGTGTTGGTGCGGTGGTGCTGGTGCTCCGTCGCAGGGACGCATCCAGGGCCATTAAATAACATCCGTCCGTCCATCAAATTAGTGTGACTGCGTTGATGACACTAGCTACCCACAAAAACGTGTGGCACACACGCACACACACATGGACTGGTTCTTGTCTATCAGTCGTATGTATGGACAAGGGTCATCCTACGGTCAAAAATGGCAAAATGGTGACATTTTTGTTCGGCTGCGTAGCGTCGTCAGTTTTGCTGACCTGCCCCTCTCTCTTGGCACCAGTGTAGCCCACTCAAGGGTGCATTTGATGCGTTTGTTGGATGGGCCGGGCCATGCACACAGAGCGAAAGACGGGCCTGCAGAGATGACACTCACACACACAGGGGAGGGAGGGGGTCATTAACAGAAGAGCTTCAGAGAGCACCGCTCGACGGCTGTGCGTACCCAGTCGGATGCCGCGGTCAATCTGAGGCCCGGGAATCTCCCCTGACGCACTCATGGCTGCGGTGCACATGGGTCACAACACCCCACGCACAGAACTCGTGATGTCTGGGAGTGCACACCAAGGCACCGTTCGCAGAGGCCAATGGGCGCATAGCAGAGCCCTCAGCAAGGGAAATCCTCTGACCGCCTAAGGAGCCTCCGCGTCTTGGCGCAACACGCCCATCTCGAGCTGCACACACAGACAGACACAGACAAAGAGAGAGATGCCAGCTTATGTGATCTTCTGGCTGCTCCTGGCTGCGTGTGTGGCCTTCCTGAGAGCCTCTCTGCTGCTGATCTGCGCGTTTGGGGCGTGTGCATCTTCCCTTCGCGCACTCTAAGCTCGCATCCGCTGCGATCGCTGCGGCGAGGCTTTTTCCCATTGCAGGGGGGCGGGGCGGCGGCTGAGGTGCTCATCTAAACCCTAATTATGCGTAGGGTTTGCGAAATTCGTGAATGCGCGTGTGCAGCAGCACATGGCACGCATACCCACACACAGGTTTATCGTAGAGAGAAACAGCCGTCTGTGTGTGTGTGCGTGTGTGTGTGCTGGTCCGTGTCCATGGTGCAGTGACGCGATCGACCGACCGACCGACGCATCCAGGGCCATTAAATAACATCCGTCCGTCCTTCAAATTAGGGTGACTGCGTTGATGACACTAGCTACCCACAAAAACGTGTGGCACACACGCACACACACATGGACTTAAGACGCACACACACACACGAAGCGCATGAAGGACAAAACGCCCTAGCATGCAAGAGAGCGGGTGGATGCAGGCCGATCTATAGAGAGAGAGAGAGGGGGGGCTGTGTCTCTCCATGTCTCGATGGATGGATGGATGGATGGATAAAGGGAGCACGCGCACGCATGCACAATGGGACACACGAAGGCACGACACGAAGCGATATCGATATGTACATACGACGGTGTGAAGACCAATCAATTGCCCGATGCAGCGGTGGTAGGTACCAAAAGGACTACAGCTACACACACAGCGACGTTATCTCTTTACACACACACATACACGAAGGAAGCGCACGCGCGACAACGAAGGAGACACCACCAATGCGACGCATGCCGCCCACACACACTATCAGGCTCCCATAAGGGCCTTCCGCACACCGACATACGATGAGCCACTCAGCAGCAGAGACCGGTGGCTGCGCTGGCCCTTGTCGAGCCATGACACTGACACGCCTGCCATCGTCACTGTGGTGCAGTTGGGCTCCTCAAGACAGATGCGCGTCAGCAGCATGGACACCTCCACCTGATCGATGACACACACACAGGGGGATGAGGGAAGGTTTGCTGCGATGCGCGACTGGCGTGCCCAGGTGGTATCTACCTGCTCTTGGAATGCCAGTTCGTTCCTGCCATGCAGCCGCCGGCAGGCGACGGACTTGCCGCATGAGACCTCCAGCTGCGTCATGTGGACCTCCATGCCTAACCGTCCGATGCGACGGACCTGGCGTGACACACCTGATGGACCCCCCCCCCAACACACACACATGGCGAGAGAGGGTCTCTGTGTGGCGGTAAAGAGCTTACTGTCGAAGTCTGTGCCGTGAAGGGCGACGCGCATCTGCATGGCCACTCCATTGACCGGCGCGCCTTTCTCCTTCAGGAACCGCAGATACTGATACATCGCCTCTCCCTTCCCCTGCACACACACACATACACACACATACACGGAAAGGTGTATGTTCCTCTCATTCCCCTCACCCCTTTGCTTGATTCGATGTGGTGGTCGCTGATCATGAGCCGTATGGGCGCGTTGCCGGCGGCCTCACGCGCCGCCTTGAAGGCCCTCTCCACCCACCCTGACGGGCCGTAAAGAACCGGGGAATTCTGTGGGTCCTTCTGCACATTGGAGAGCACTGCACACACACAAGGAGGGAGGGGAGTCCACATACACATATACTTCGTTGATCCCGGCATTCATTCGGGCGTACCGTCAGCAGCGACATCCATCTGTATGACATGGGGCATCGCGTCAGCGTCAGTATAGCGCCCCACCACCTCTCTCACATGCGTCAAGAGCGCCGCCTCACGCCGATGATGGTCCTTGCTGGCCCACCCCGGCACCCCTCGCCCCCACGTCACCAGAGGCATGCGCATCTTGAGGCCGAGTTCGGTGGACAGATCGGCCATTCGGTCGCAGAGGGAGAAGTCGAAGACGCCTTGCTGTGGCTGCAGGACGCCCATTGTGCCTGACAGAGAGACAGACGGATGCTTTGGTGTGGGGGTGATTGTCCGTCTGTGTGTGCACATTGTGCAGATGTCGGCAGCAGGTTCGATTCTTCTGCCTGTGTCTGCAGGTAGGTGGGGTCTGTGAGCTGCCGTGGTGAGGTGACGGCAAAGCCCACATACATCCTCCGCCCATCGGCCAATGCGCGAACGCACACACACACACACACACACAGTAGATGCACGTTTGCGCGCCGCACAGACACACACACTGGCATGCAGACTGGGGGCGGCACTGAGTGAGAGAAAGACGCCTACAGAACAAAGGTGCAGGCGAGAAGCTGAGTGCGTGTGTTCCAAGATAATGTGACAATGGGCTATCAAGCCTTACCAAGCAGAGGGAATGAGGTTGTGTGTGCGGGTCATGAGGGGAATCCCAAGTTGGTCAAAAGGTATCCCACCTCGGGAATGACGAAGTAAAGACCATATAGGTCGGTCTTCATCGCAATCGCATCTCCATCACCAGCATACAAAAAGTCTGCTACAGGCCCTTGACGTCCTTGCCGATTCCTTGAGGTCCTTCATCCTTTTCCTGAGCCGACAAGCGCACAGACAGAGAGAGATGTCAGCTGGAGGGCCTTGTGGCTGCTCCTCGCTTCATGTGTGGCCTCTCTATGTGTGAGCCTCTCTGGTGCCCTTTGTGTTTTGGGAAAGGCATGTGCCGTTAGCGACCCCTAGCACCACTCAAGCTCGCAACTGTAAACGCTCTCTGATTTTGAGGGCTTTTTCCCATCGCAGGGGGTCGGAGCGGCGGCTGAGGTGCTCATCTAAACCCTAATTATGCGTAGGGTTTGCGAAATTCGTGAATGCGCGTGTGCAGGATTGCGCAGGACTCAAGAAGGCGCCTTCCCACACACGGATGTGCGCAGGGGTGGGCTGTGTGTGCAGAGAGGGAGGGAGGGGGCGTGCTCTGTCCCTCTCTCTCTCTCTCTCTCTCTCTTTCTGTGTGTGTGTGTGTGCGTGTGTGTGTTTGTGTGTGCTGGTCCGTGTCCATGGTGAAGTGACGCGACCGACCGACCGGCGGAAGCATCCAGGGCCATTAAATAACATCCGTCCGTCCTTCAAATTAGGGTGACTGCGTTGATGACACTAGCTACCCACAAAAACGTGTGGCACACACGCACACACACATGGACTAAAGACACACACGCGCACACACGAAGCGGATGAAGGACAAAACGCCCTAACCTGCAAGAGAGCGGGTGAATGCAGGCCGATCTATAGAGAGAGAGGGAGAGAGGGGATGTGTCCCTCCATGTCTCGATGGATGGATGGATGGATAAAGGGAGCACGCGCACGCATGCACAATGGGACACACGAAGGCACGACACGAAGCGATATCGATATCTACAGACGACGGTGTGAAGACCAATCAATTGCCCGATGCAGCGGTGGTAGGTACCAAAAGGACTACAGCTACACACACGGCGATGTTTTCTCTACACACACACATACACGAAGGAAGCGCACGCGCGACAACGAAGGAGACAACACCAATGCGACGCATGAGCCCCACACACACTATCAGGCTCCCATGAGGGCCTTCCGCACACCGACATACGATGAGCCACTCAGCAGCAGAGACCGGTGGCTGCGCTGGCCCTTGTCGAGCCATGACACTGACACGCCTCCCATCGTCACTGTGGTGCAGTTGGGCTCCTCAAGACAGATGCGCGTCAGCAGCATGGACACCTCCACCTGATCGATGACACACACACAGGGGGATGAGGGAAGGTTTGCTGCGATGCGCGACTGGCGTGCCCAGGTGGTACCTACCTGCTCTTGGAAGGCCAGCTCGTTCCTGCCATGCAGCTGCCGGCATGTGGCCGACTTGCCGCATGAGACCTCCAGCTGCGTCATGTGGACCTCCATGCCTAACCGTCCGATGCGACGGACCTGGCGTGACACACCTGATGGATCACACACACACAGATGGCGAGAGAAGGTCTCTGTGCGGCGGTTGAGAGCTTACTGTCGAAGTCTGTGCCGTGAAGGGCGACGCGCATCTGCATGGCCACTCCATTGACCGGCGCGCCTTTCTCCTTCAGGAACCGCAGATACTGATACATCGCCTCTCCCTTCCCCTGCACACACACACACACACACGGAAAGGTGTATGTTCCTCTCATTCCCCTCACCCCTTTGCTTGATTCGATGTGGTGGTCGCTGATCATGAGCCGTATGGGCGCGTTGCCGGCGGCCTCACGCGCCGCCTTGAAGGCCCTCTCCACCCACCCTGACGGGCCGTGGAGAACCGGGGAATTCTGTGGGTCCTTCTGCACATTGGAGAGCACTGCACACACACAAGGAGGGAGGGGAGTCCACATACACATATACTTCGTTGATTCCGGCATTCACTCGGGCGTACCGTCAGCAGCGACATCCATCTGTATGACATGGGGCATCGCGTCAGCGTCAGCATAGCGCCCCACCACCTCTCTCACATGCGTCAAGAGCGCCGCCTCACGCCGATGATGGTCCTTGCTGGCCCACCCCAGCACGCCTCGCCCCCACGTCACCAGAGGCATGCGCATCTTGAGGCTGAGTTCGGTGGACAGATCGGCCATTCGGTCGCAGAGGGAGAAGTCGAAGACGCCTTGCTGTGGCTGCAGGACGCCCATTGTGCCTGACAGAGAGACAGACGGATGCTTTGGTGTGGGGGCAATTGTCCGTCTGTGTGTGCACATTGTGCAGATGTCGGCAGCAGGTTCGATTCTTCTGCCAGTGTCTGCACATAGGTGGGGTCTGTGAGCTGCCGTGGTGAGGTGACGGCAAAGCCCACATACATCCTCCGCCCACCGGCCAATGCGCGAACGCCGCCTGCACACACACACACACACACACCATAACACGCAATTCGCGCAGACATCCGCAGGCGCCCCCTTTCAGCCACTCACCATCGAGCGACGCACTTGCAGCACTGAAATGCGCCTTGAGATCCGGCGTGATGGTCTCAACCTGATGGACCTGCTGACTCCGAGCACTCAGCCGACCCCTTGTGTGTGTCGCCATCACTGTCACTATGTCCGACTCGAGAAGAAAGGGCTCCACCAGCGCGCATGGCGCGTGTCGCGTGTCGGCACACGACGGGCCCACCGACCGAATGTGCCACGGGCAGCACAGCTCCCTCATCTCCTCATCCCCACTCTCACAGGCCTCCCCCTCAGCGTCATCACGCGCGCCACATATGCTCGCGGAGCAGGCCGACCACTCCTTGTTGAACACGCCGTTGGCGATCTCGGTGCAGTAGGCTTGGGGGTCGACTGTGAAGCGGCAGGGCAGCTCTGACGCTGAGCCGTCCGGTGCACACGCGGGCAGCATCTCATAGTCGGGGCAGCAGAGTTCCGGGGTGGTGGGTGAGCATTGGTCGGCGTCCGCGCCGCAGTTGTCGCACGACTTGGGGCAGCAAACTTGGTGCGTCACGTCGAACTTCCCACCCAGCTGCTGCGCACACACGGCTGCAGGGAACAGGGGAAGTGGAAAGAGAGAGCGACATGTGTGTCAGTGGAATCGACTCTCGACTTACCGGCGTTGGATATCTCTTCCATCGGTGTGGCAGCGATGCTCGCAGTTGTGACGGGCCTGTTCCTGCCACTCGCCCGGTGGGTCTCCATCATGGTGACGCTCTCGTCATCCACAGCACACGGGGCAACCTCTAACTTGGAGCAGTAGAGATCACTTCCAGCCGCCCTGATCTCCTTGCTGCAGCACTTGTCCGGACGGCTGTCTGCGCGCAGCGAGCAGCCCTCCCCGCCGCACTCTTCGCATTCGATGGGGCAGCAGACCTCTCTCGCTTCGTTGAATACCCCGCCTATGTAGTCCTCGCACACGCGTCGCTTCGTCCATCGGTCCTTGATGGACATATCGGGCCGCTCCGTCAACACACACGGAAGCGCGGGGGTCCCATTTCCGTTGCTGCCGCTGCTGCATGCGGCCATTGCGGCCATTGCGGTTGTTGTCTCGTTCGTAGAGCAGTCGATGCTGCCGAGCGCGCCTCTCTTGCAGCAGACACCGGTGTCACGGTCGTAGCTGCCGTCCAGATGCCGCCTGCATAGCACCTCCCTCTCATAGACAGGTGCCACATCCGCCTTGACAGAGAAGAAGGTAGCTGCGGTGACCAGACATGGGGGCTCGTGGTCTATGTCGCAGGAAGAGGCGTTGCTGGCGTGTATGCCCGTGGAACAGCACACTGCTGTTCCGCCTGGCAGGCTCCCGCAGTCCATGCCGCCACACTGGCCACAGTCAGAGGGGCAGCACGCGTCCTCGCCATCCGACAAACCCCCAAGCTTGTGCTGACAGATCTCCCTGCAGACAGAGAGAGGGAGACAATTGCACAGGGGGCACATTAGGCACGTGCACTGACTTCACGTACCAGGCACTCTCCGCAAAGGCGTCTTTGGACGCCTCGTCCATCCGGCACGGCACAGCAGACGCATTGCTGCAGTCGGTCCCATGGGCGCGCAGCATGTCCGGGCAGCACTCGCTGTCGGTCTCGCATGTCTGTCTGTCGCACGACGCGCATTTCGCCGAACAGCAGACGGTGGCTCGGTCGTCGGCGATGCCACCAAGTCGGGTGCAGAGGGTGGTCCGATCGGCGGCCGAGAATGCGTCACTTCGGAGAGATATGTTCGCTGCACGAATGCACACACAGGAGATAACAAGATTTCCATACTCCATCCACAGGTGTTTGTATGTCTTATTCTGTACCCACCTGGCTTGGTGATGTCGTCAACAGGAGGAGGCTCGCCCCCATTCCCATCGACAAGCGCGGCTCTCACAAGATCCACATTGCGCATGGTGCACGGCGGGGCCCCCCTGTCCTCGCACCTCTCGGCATACTTCTCGATCTCCTCCACACAGCACTCGGGCTCCATCCCCGTGCATCTCTCGCCGGTCGCGCATTCGCTGCAGATTTCTGACGGACAGCATGCTCTGGTCGCATTGAGGCCGCCCTGTCCGAAGGTGCCGCCCAGTGCGGTGCAGGCTCGGTTGAAAGTGACGTTGAGTGTGGGCATGAGGGCTTCGGTGATGCGGCAGGGAGGGGTGTGCTCGCCGTCACATGCCGGTTTTAAAATCACTTCGTAGTCACAGCACTCGTCCCTGCCGCCCTCTCTGCACGCGTCAGGCAGCCATGCAAGCGTGTTTGTGCGTCCTGTGGGTGTGGAGGCTTTCGTGCTTGGTTACGTGTCTTCGCAGAATGCCCCTCCGCACTTGTCGCCACATCGGCCTGCAGGGCAGCAGTTGCCCGACAGCCCGTAGATGCCACCCACCTTGTGCTCGCACAGCCACTTCCTCTCCTCGAATGTCATGCCGGGGTGACGCTCTTGCTGCACTCAGACAGACAGACAGACGATGGACGGATGGACGTGTCCATACTGGTGTGTGTACCTTTTGGAACTGTGAGTTGAGTGAGAGAGGGTCGTTAGGGTGGTTGGGCTCGACGAAACCTGGAATGGTCGTCACGAGCGACTCGTTCTGACGCGTGGCCATCCAGACACACAGACGCACAGATGGTGCCCATCCATTCAGGTCATGCTGGCCAGCTCACCCACCGACCATAATTGATACGGCATCGATCCTGATCGGTGGGGACATTTTCGCCTCGTCAAGCGAACCAACATGATCGGCGAACGACACCTGCAGGGAGACAGACAGACAGACGGACGGACGGACAAGGACACACATGCTCGCACACCAACAGCCGCCCACCGACCTACTGGACCTACCGTGAACGCTCCATTGTTCCGCTCTGCGTTAAACCAAGAGGCGAGACGAGGATGGTACATCCGCATGTGCTTGACGGGCACCGCTGCGTTCATGAAACTCACCTGCACACACACACACACACACACGCATCCTCGCATCCTCATGTGCGCCGAGTGTCCACTCGTTCTCACCACAAAGTAATAGTTGGTTGCTCGTGTGGGGAACGATGCGTAGATTGAGACGTTGTCATTGGCCAGACCGGGGCAGGGCACAAAGCGCCAGCTGGCCTCCTGCGTTGCGTGAGCCCTGGTGCTGCTCTTGACTGCCGCAAAGGGCATGACCGTGAGAAGGTTCTCTGGGCATCCCTCACACCTGCACACATACCCACACGGAAGGAGGCCGCATGTGGCTGCTGGCTGGATGGATGGATGGTGACATGATCGGCTGGTTACCCATCGACGACGAGCATGTGGTGGAGTGCTTCCGCATCCAAGGGACCCTCTGTGGTGGGGTAGATCTGCAGGAGCACACCACGGACAACCCTGGCTGTGTCCTCCCTCTGTTTGATTGATGTGCGTACCTCCATGCAGGTGCCGCAGGCCAGGCCGTCTTCGAAGTGTGTCTGCGGTACCCTCACCACACCGCTCACACTGGGAACTGGAGGCAGCTTGTGGATCGAGCACCCTCCCTGCCCGATGACAACCGCCACCAACAACAATGGCAGCACCACACACCAACGCTAAGGTGTTGTCATTGCCTTCTGTGCAGTGTGCCTTGTGTACCGTATGTGATTCGTTCCAGAATGCCTCGTTGTCGAGATTTGCTGTGTGCCATGGCTTGTAGAAGTTGAAGGGCGCAGCAGCACGAGGGAGGCTCAGCAACGCTGCTGCAGCTGTGAGGGCAAGGATGGCGAGATAGTCCCTGGCAGTGTGGCCATCACCGTCTTGCATCGTCTGCACGGCAACCTGTCTTCGTCTTTATCTTGAAATAGTAGGCCAGCCCTTGTTGCTATTCCGGCCGATACTAGCTCGCACTTCCTGACACGAGCGAAGGATGGAGGGCGAAGAAGAGGTAGATGCGCACCTTGCTAGGCGCCGCACACGGCATCGAGCCTGTTGAAGCTACAAGACAGCACTCCGATCCATAGCTTTCGCGACTTGGTCGCACGATGGCTGCCAGCTGTAGTGCCGCAGCCCAGGTGAGAGAAGAGGAAGCTGCAGGCCAAGCAAAATCCCTACATCATGACGTGAACAATTTGTGCTGTCTGTGTGTGGTTTGTCATTCGCTTTGGTGCAGATGAGCGCAGTGATCCGGGCGCAGCTGCTGCCTCAGGTAGAAGGCTATCGGATGAAGCAGGCTCAGGTATCAGCTGACCAAAACACCAAAACCAACTCGTCCATCCATGCAGTGCATCCAGCGCTCATCGGCTGCTGGTGTCTGTGTGTGTGTGTGGTGCAGGTCAACAGTTGCATCGACCAACTCCTGCAGATGGACACCGCTGCTGCGATGGCACCACTGGTGCGGCAGGCTGCCAAACACACCGCACACCACAAAGCCCTCTGTTGCTCTCGTCGACTTGATTCATTCATCAGATGGTGGCCAAGGTGAGTCGTCAATTTGCTGCTGTGTCCGACCTGCTGGCCGAGTTGGCAGACACCATCAACTCGACCATCGCACTGACAAGACATAGCTGGACACAGGTGAGGGAGTGACTGATCACAGGCAGGCACAAACGCAAGACCCACACTGATGTGGTGTGTACGTCTCATGTGTGTGTTGTGTGCATGTCCTTCTTTCTGTGTGCAATCAGGCGCGACGGCTGCACCTGACTGACATCCCCGCCAACCCCATGAGCGTCGTCATGGAACTGTCTGACCTCACCACCATCGCCCACGTCAAGTCGACAGCCCGACCCATCAGAAATGCCCTCTGGCCGATCGTGCGCAACCTTCGGCTGCCGAAGGCCATCGAGCGGGCGGGGGTTAATGGCGTGGTGCAGTTCGACGATCAGCTGAGCGACGGCGATGTGATGAAGGCCATGTGGGTGGTGGAGGAGGGGGGCGAGGGCGGCTGGGGGGAGGTGGACGACACACTGAGACTCTCGGAGCATTGCGGCTATTCCCAGCTGCCGATCACTGTGGCTGCTGGAGACCTGCAGATACACGCCACCAAGGCGGTAAACACAACAAACAGGAGAGGCAATGGGTGAGCTGCTGGATGTGTGTGTGTTGGGTGCAGAATTTCTTGGCACTGCCCCGTTTCTGTGCGCAGTGGATGCTCGTGGGCTGCCATGTCGTCCTCCGCCGCCCCACTGGCCAGCAGGACGGCACACTACAGCTGTTCCGCCACAACGATCAGATCCGCGCCATCCGCAACGAGCCCAACTTCACCATCACACCCAACCCACCCCTCCCCCTCCCCAACCGCCCCGTCCACCCCTTCTCGCAACACCCCTTCACCCACCACGCCAAGCCACACGACCCGCCAGTCAGCAGCCGCATTACGTGGCAAAATGGTGTGGGCTGGGTGACGATTGGCGTCAACGACGGGCCTCTTTACGCATCGGCGAGTTCCATGTTGAAGGACCTGGTCCTGTGTCACCGGCTGTTGGCTGTGAGCGGCTTCACCGACTCGCCAGCAGTGGTGGTTGACCGGTGAGTGAATGGACGGCACGCAATGAGAGGGCGAATGGCTATGTGGTGCGTCATTGATGTGTGTGTCAGGAGTGCGCATGGTGGCCACCTCGACGGCATCATCACCCAATCGCCGCACAGGCCCCTCGCCGAGTGCCCGGACGTGACGGCATTTGAGGGGGCCAATGGGCGGTGTATGCAGTCGCATGTGCTGACGACGTCGGACGACCCATTCATCGCATGGACTTACTTTGGCATCTTCCCAGGCGACAACCAGGACGGTACGATACACATTGACAACACATCCATGCTGTCGTGTCGTCTGATCATCCGCTTTGCTGTTGTCTGCATGCAGTGCGCGTCATCATCCGTACCAGCGAGGCGCCAGCAGCAGGTGTCCCTCAGGATGCGCCCTTCGCCCAGCGGTTCCCCCTGACGGCCGCCAAGGTGCGTTGCGTCCTCGGCCTCATCGCACCCATCGTGCTTGATGGCCAGGCGCCATAGATACAAGGTGAAACATGCAGGCATGCATGTGATGTGTATGCCCAAGATGCCTGTGTGTTGGTCTCTGTCATACAGGATGGTCGTTTCGCTCGAAGGATGACCCGCTTGACTGGGCGGCTGACTGGCTGGCTGGCTGTTAGTGGGATGGTCCTCTCTTCAACACGTGCAGCCTGCCGACGTGTCTGCACCAAATCCATCAACACACAGAAAAAACATCAACACACACGCGCATCATCATGCCATTGTGTGGCTCTCACCTTGTATCTATGGCGCCTGGCCATCGAGCACGATGGATGCGATCGGGCCGCACAAGCTACGGACCTTGGCGGCTGTCAGGGGGAACCGCTGTGCGAAGGGCGCATCGTGGAAGACACCTGCTGCTGGCGCCTCGGTGGTAGGGATGGTGACGTGGACTGCACGCAGACAACAGCAGAGCGGATGATCTGACGACACGACAGCATGACCATTGGTTGTCAATGTGTATGCGTACCGCTCTGGTTGTCGCCTGGGAAGATGCCAAAGTAAGTCCATGCGAGGAACGGGTCGTTGGATGACGTCAGTACATGCAGCTGCGCACAGATCCTATCGGCCGCCTCCCATGTCAACACGTCCGAGCATCCATTGGGCGGTGTATGTGGCGATTGAGTCATGATGCGGTCGAGGTGGCCGCCCCGCACACGACTGACACACACATCAATGACGCACCACATAGCCATTCGCCCTCTCATTGTGTGCCTCCCATCCACTTACCGGTCCACCGCCACTGCTGGCGAGTCGGTGGAGCCGCCCAGAGCCAACAGCCGGTGTCACAGGACCAGGTCCTTCAACATGGAACTCGCCGATGCGTAAAGAGGCCCGTCGTTGACGCCAATCGTCACCCAGCCCACACCATGCTGCCATCCAATGCGGCTGCGGACTGGAGGGTCGTGTGGCTTGGCGTGCTGCTGGAAGGGGTGCTGCGAAAAGGCATGGACGGGGCGGCCGGTGAGGAGGGGGAGCGGCGGGTTGAGTGTGATGGTGAAGTTGGGCTCGTTGCGGATGATCCGAATATCGTTGTTGTTGTGGCGGAACAGCTGTAGTGTGCCGTCCTGCTGGCCAGTGGGGCGACGGAAGACGACATGGCGACCGACGAGCATCCACTGCGCAAACACACGGGGCAGCGCCAAGAAATCCTGCAGGCAGCACACCACATCCAGCAGCTCACCCATTGCCTCTCCTGTGTGTCGTGTTTACCGCCTTGGTGGCGTGTGTCTGCAGATCTGCACCATCCACAGTGATCGGCAGCTGGCAATTGCCACAGTGCTCGGCGACTCTGAGCGTGTCGCCTACCTCCCCCCACGCCCCCTCGCCCCCCTCCTCCACCACCCACATGGCCTTCATCACATCGCCGTGGCTCAGCTGAGGGTCGAACTGCACCACGCCACTAGCCCCCGCCCCCTCGATGGCGTTCGGCAGGCGAAAGCGGCGGACGATCGGCCAGAGGGCATTTCTGATGAGTCGGGCTGTCGACTTGAGGTGGGCGACAGTGGTGAGGTCAGACAGTGCCAGGACGATGCTCATGGGGTTGGCAGGGATGTCAGTCAGGTGCAACGATGTGGCCTGACGACACTCAGCAAACACACACACACACACACGCAATGCATGTGGCAGCTCGGTGTGTGTGTCCATCTATGTGCCTGCGTGTGGTCAATCACACACCTGCACGTGGCCATCGGCATCTTTGCCATGTGTAGCAGAATCGCTCGCGCCATCACCTGCCACACAGACAACGACACAGACACACACAAGGCTGTGTTTGTGTGTTGGTGTGCCATTCTCCCTTAGGTATATATCGGCTCACCCTCGTGCGTTGCCTGTGCGATGGCGGTCTCTATGGTGTCTGCCAGCTCGGCCAGATGGTCGGACACAGCAGCGAGCTGCCGGTTCACCGTGGCCACCACCTGAGGAACGAATCAACCACACGAGAGGAACACCAACCGACAGAGGCCATTGTGTGGTTGTTGGTTGTCTGTGCTGCTTGGCACCCTGCAGGCACCTACCTGTACTGTCAGCTGAGTAGAGTCCATCTGTGAGAGTCGTGTGATCTGTGCGTTTGCCTGCACGCATGTGCCACATGGACAGCAGACAGAGCAACCAAGCGGCCGGGTGAGCGATGGATGCATTGAATGGATGAGTGAGCGAGTCAGTGTGTTGGTTGGCTAAGTACCTGAGTCTGGTTCATCTGAAGGCATGCTGTGATCAGAGGCGTGAACTCTCGCTGCGGCAGGAGCTGCTCACGCACACGCAGAGCAACCATCTGCACCAGACAGCAGGACAACACAAAAACATGCCACGATTCGCTGCGTTGCTTCATGTTATGCTTGGCCTGCAGGCTCCTCTCCTCTCACCCGAGTGTGACTGATGGCGACGGCCATTGTGAAGATCTATGGACACACACGAGCCTTCCCTCGCCCCCTGCGAGCTTAAACCAAAATCGAGACGAGACGGACGAGATTCATGGTTTGCCTGTTTCTTTCTCCTTGCGCTGTTTCCCACGTAATCGAGAGAACAGCGTATGCGAGCGAGGATGAAGGCGATGACCTTCATTGTCCTGTTGCTGCTGACGCCGTCGAGAGCGGAGTCCTTCGAGAACGACCAGAACAACACCAGCAGGGGGGTAGTGGCGGGCGGGGGGGGTAGTGGCGAGCAAGTCCGAGACAAAGCACGACAACGCCAGCGGGGTAGCGGGGGGCCCGGGAGGGACGGAGCCGGTGGCACCGCAATCGGCGCAACCCAGGGAGAAGAAAGCGCACAACAAGAACTCAACACACACGCGCTCATGGCTGTGCCCAATATGTGTCTTCCTCCTCAGAGACAGAGTAGCGGAGGGCCCATGGCCTGTTTGTCGAATCGGATGAGGGAGAGCAGCACCGGATCGGTGCCTTCGGCGTCGTGCTGCCAATGCGCGACCGGGACGGCCGCAAGTGGGCAGTCAAGATCCTGCACAAAGACCATGACTGTGCCCTCCTAGTACGCGAGACCACACGACACCAATATTCGACCCACTGTGTGCCTATCCACACACGCACGTGTGTGTGTGTAGGTTGACGGGTTTCAGCGCACAGGCAATGACCTGTGGAAGGAGAACCGCGTTACCTCCCGGACTCCATACCGTTGTGCGACAGGTGAGCAAGGCGAACAAAAGAGAGTGAATAAAGGGATCTGCGTCACTCAGGCTCTCCGCCCCTCCGTCTTACCTGTCTGTGCTGTGTCTGCAGGATGACGATGCGGATGTGCGACATCTGGAGGCTGAACTGAGGCGAATGAAATCCGTTCACTCAGAGGTAGCCGCAGCGACGCACAGTGTATGCAGAAGCATCATCCCATCCATCTGTGTTGTGTCCGCTTTCAGTTTACTGATCGCCTCGACAGGGTGCGGCAGGACATGACGCCTGCCGTCGCAAGCCAGGTGCCTGGCGCCGCCGACTACTTGGCTGTCCTGCAGCAGACCATGCTGTCGGCGTCGGATGCACTCGACGACTTGAGCGACCTGTTCAGCGACATTAGGTGCCATCCAGACCCGCGGACTCGTCCACGACCGTCGACGCTGCCAACTCCGCTGCCTCCGTCGATCGGCCTGAAAGGCCCCCCCACAACGACGAGCAACCGACAGATAAGGTAGCCTGGCCTCGCACACATGGGAGAGGGTGAGGGAAAGGTATCACGTCCATCATATTAGTCGCTGATGGTGCCTGCCTGCCTATCAGGAATATGGACTTCCCTGCCTCGACGGGTTGCCGCCCGATGTCATCACCACCGAGGGCCATCGCAACATCGTCAACATCGAGTCCATCTACCACATGTGTGGCCCCGAAGGCGAGCACATCACGGCGTATCGGATGGAGTGGATCGAACGTAAGCAAGCACTCATACAACACAACACAACACAACACACACAGGCAGTCAGGAGAGGAGCCATGGACATTCATTCCGTTGGTCACGTGTGTGTCGTGGATGTGTTGGGTGTGTGTGTTGGGTGTGTCTTCGAACAGTCACTTTGAGGCAGCTCAACTGCCGGCGCGATTCCGCTTTGATGGCTCGCATTGCGGATGGTGTGCTCGCGACTGTCGAGGAGTTTCACCGCCACAAATTGGTGCACGGCGACCTGCATGTGTGTGAGCCGCGCACACACAAAAGACATGATCTCAGCTATGACATCACTATGGTGGGTGTGCAGGAAGGTAATGTTGGTCTACGGAGGCTGGGTGACGACAGCTACGAGCCGGTGCTGATCGACCTCGATCGGCTGAGGAAGGACCCATCCACGTCCGAAGGGCGACAACACGCAGTGAGACTACATTGTCGTGTCTCTTCTGGTTGCTGTGTGCAGATCGATGGCTGTCTACATTTTATATCTGTCGGCCCATTGAGCATCGCCACGTCATCTTTTGTGTTGCTGATCGACCGCATTGAGGGCCCGGTGGCATGACAGGTGCGTAAGTGAGACTAACAAGAGGCTGACACATAGACACATTACATGTCATGGGTTCTCTATGTGTCTCCGTTTATCTGGCCGCCTCGGCGGCCACCGAGCTTCCGTCGAGGGGCATCCCACTCCGTCTCTTTCCGCACTCAAGAAGGACATGGCCGTGAAGAGCACACAGGTGCGCACGTCATCCACACCCGCACCCACACATTCCCACTGTCTCTCTCTCTGTGCGTGTGTATGCAGGTTCAGAAGTTGAGCTTGGACTTAGAGGCCGCGAACAAGGCATCAAAGGACCAGTAGGTGGGCATCATGACACACACATGAGGGTGTGTGTGCACTTCGAGCACGTGAGCAAGCGTCTGGAGGCTACCTCACCGCATTCGCTATGTCTGTCTATGCACACATACACACAAGTACGTCTCTGCGTGCTTGTGTGTGTGTGTGTGTGTAGTTGGTGCGAGAAATGTGTAGCATCACCGACGCCCTTCTGGCGCGTTTCGAGAGCTTGAATGCCAACCCGCGGCTGACCAGCCTCATCGGACGGCTGCAAGCACGCAACAGCCTCTTTCCCAAGGACGCACTGTCACGGGTATGTGATCCACTTGAAGTAGAAGAGATCGACAGAAGACAGACCGACAGGCATGATGGGTATGTAAATGTGCCTGTATGTCATAGAGTCGTGTTTGGTCATGTGTGGGTCTATGACGTGCAGGCGAGGCGTGACAGCCGCTGCTGAAGAGTGCGAGGATGGAAGACCGTCAGGGCTCACACCGCCCCGCCGACGACAAGATGGTGCCACATGCAGAGGCAGAGATACAAATGGATGTTTGACTCTGTTGTGTCGATTAATTCATTCTTGTGGCAGAGGATCAGAGGACACTTTTGTCGGGATCTTCGCGTCCCTCCTCAAAGAGTACGCATGCGCACGATGGGATATCATGTCAGTGTGTGGACATCATGGGTGTGTGTGCACGTGCCTCTCAGGTTCTGGCAGCGCGTCGGCAATCAGTCACCCACCACCACCGCATCATCAACCAGACCCCAATGCCTCACCATCGTCATCAGGCCCCGCCATGCCGCCGCCGTCCACTGCTGCTTCCGCGGCTCCTCATGCAGCCGTTGGCCAACACCACCAAGGTCACTCAGAATGGGTCTGGACTCACACATGCATGGCCACCACATTACTTGGCACATCTCTGTCTGTGTGCGTGTGCGTGTGCGCGGGCGTCTCAGGTGCCGGCAACGTGCCGATGAGCAAGCAGCCAGCACCACAGCAGCAGCAGCAGCAAGTGATGCAGCAGGGTATGGCCACGACGATGGGATATCATGTCAGTGTGTGTCCATCATGTGTGTGTGTGCGTCCATCTCAGCTTCTGGCAGCGGTCCGGCGACTACTCACGCAGCAACTCACCCACCACCACCGCATCATCAACCAGACCCCAATGCCTCGTCATCGTCATCAGGCCCCGCCATGCCGCCGCCGTCCACTGCTGCTGCCATCAACGCCATGCCCCAACGCCATGCCCCATCCCCCATGCATCGTTGCCTACATTTTATATCCGTTGTGTGTCTCTTCCTTTGCACATCTGCTTGCAATGGAATGATGAGGTGATGTCACTGATACATAAGTTTGTGATGGCGATAGAGACGAAACAAGTAGATACATGAAACGGGCAAGTTCGTCAAACGACGGATGGTATTTAATGGCCCTGGGTGCGTCCGTCCGTCGGTCGATCGCGTCACTTCACCATGGACATGCACCATCACAAATAATCCACCACACACACACACACGCACACACGCACACGCACACACGCACACACGCACATCCACAGTCACAGCACCATCAAGCAGCGGCCAGACAGAGAGACGGGCAGGCCACGGAGCCGCTCATACATTCCTTATGCGGTCTGGATAGCTAATGGGCCGGGCTGGTGGAGGAGAGAGGGAGAGAGAGAGAGAGGTTGGTCGACGTCCAGTGGTGGGGTGTGAAGTGGGGTGTGAATGAAAATAGACCTTGCCCCTGTCTTTCTCCCTCTGGCTGTCTGCTATGCGGTAGGTATTGGAATAAGGCCTCAATTGGATGCAGAATGACAGACACTCCCACACACCCCGGCCACACGCCATGCGACAATGAACACGACAAGAGACACGGCTGGCACGGCACGTTCCAATGCATCCTCTTCTTTTCCTTTGGTCTCGCCATTCTCGTGCAGTCAGTGTTGCCAACTCAGAATTCTTGACAGGCACGTATGTGGGACTGGGGTGGATATGCCTGCCCTGAGGGACACACTGACAGACAAAACGACACAAGGAGGCGACGAACAGTTCCGTCGGCCCAGGTATGTGCATGGGAAACATGGTCAGAAAGCCGGCCACGCTCATGGAAAAAAAGACACACACAGACACACACCGACACACACAGACAGACAGACAGACAGACACGTATGGATACGGTTGGTTGGTCACAGGGCCAGAAACACCCGGTCGAGCAGCTCCTCCTCACCCACCACCTTTTTGGCCATGAAGTCGTTCCACGCCTTCACCCAGCCGCCCAACCACCCGCACACCCCCATCCCCTCCGTGCCCTCAGACTCGCTCTCGCTCTCGCCCTCGCTCTCCAGGTCGCTGATCGTCACCTCAGTCCACCCATCCCCCTTGATGGTGTCGGGTGTGGCGGTGGTCGTCTCATTGCCGGCTTCGGCCACATCTGAGCAGACAGGCCCGTCGTGTGTGAGACAACTTGGTGGTTTGGCAGGTGTTCGGTGCTTACCGACGGGCCATATGACGAGCGACGGGCTGTTCGTCACATGGGTGTCACCAGAGATAGAGATGGAGGTGGTGATGGCGTGGCCTCTGCGGGGCGCACTGGCCGACGCCTTTCTCGACACGCGCTTCTTGCATGAGGACACACCTATGAGAAAGGATAATGGGTGGATGAAGTGTTGCGCCCTTTTGCTTTGCGGTGCAACTCACTCTTTGCCACGGCGTGGGTGTTCCGCTTCTTGGCCTTCTTGTGTGACGGCAGCTGCAGGTACTGATCCATCTCCGCCCTCTCCCATCCCTCCGTCAACTCATCTGCAGGAATGGAATCCCGGACACAGAGAGAACAGCCAGGCAGGAAGTGAGAGATGAGAAGGAGAGAGAGAGCGAAGTCACTCTCTGTGCACATGGCGTGGCGTGTGGTGTGTGTATTGTGCTCACCGTCCTTCGTTCTGTCTGTGGTCTTGAGTTCTTCGGCCTCCACGCTCATGGCCTGGTACTGCTGGGTGAGTTCCTGTCAGCATGTCACACACACACACGGATTGGACAGGCGATTCCGCACCTTCAGAGTGTATTCCGCACCTTCAGAGCGGTGTCGATTTCCTTGTGCTCAGCCTTGACGGCGGTCGTCACTCATGCCGCCCCGTCGAGCTCCATGGCCTTTCCGAAGGCCGCCAGGGCCTCGCTAAAACGGGAGAGCCGACGCAACACACGGCCGTGCCTGAACAAACCCTGCAGCCACACAGAGAGACACAGAGACACAGAGACAGAGATGCGCGCACTGTGAGGGGAAATTTGTCATGTCTCGTCGATTGCAGCTGACCTTTATGTGGTTGGGATTGGCCTGCAGGAGTTTCCGTGCTGTCTTGAGAGCCATGTTGAGCTCGTTGGCCTTGTCGTGGGCCTGGATGGCGTTGCTGAGGAGCGCCTCGTACACCTCCTGCGCATGGGGGCTGGTTTTGAGGAGTTTGGTGAACTCCATCAGTCCCACTCCAGTCGTGTAGAAGAGGGCGGCCCCAGCGAAGTCCCTTTCTCTCATCCGCTGATTCCCTTGGTCCTTGTATGACATTGCACTGCAGGCACGAAACACAAGGAGGCAAAATGCGCTGCATGCCTTGCCGCACGTGGTGCTTGGTACAGCGCTCACCTTGCGAAGACGCTCTCTACAGCTGCAGTGTCCATGACATTGCTCTTGACCGCAACGCAGCCCTCGCCTGCACGCAGTCCACATCCGACGACATGGCATTGCACTGTAGACAAGTGCCCCAGGCTCAACACATGTCTCAGCATATTGTCAGCATATGCAGTGGCAGCTCTTCCTTTCTGACTCACCTCGTGACAATGTAGCCCCCGACAAGTCAGGGACGTCTTGACCGGATGCCATCGGATTCCGTCCTTCGGCAGGCATCCAACGTGCCATATACAGCTCTCCTCCTCCTTCCTGAGGCTCGACGATGATCACAGGCCGTCTCTTGCAGCCGATGACTTGATTACGACTCGAATATGGACCTTCGCTTCACCAACAGTATCACAACGTCCGAGAGAATCAACAATGGGCTGAGACAGAGATGACCCCCTGGCCACCTTCGTTGCGAGCCTGAGCTCGCAGAGAGGAAATGAAGAAAAGAGAAGGCGTTGATGGTGACGACAGATGCGTGCAGAGCTCCGTGAGGCCTCGAGGAATCAGTCTCATCCATAGCTTTGCAGGACGATGGATGGCAGTGCCACTCGGGTGAGAACAGCAGCCTCCAAGCCAAGCAAAGCACGTGAATCATCATGGCATCATATTATGATTCATGCATCGTGTGTGCTGTTTGCGTGTGATTGTGTTGTCATTCGCTTTGGTGCAGATGAGTGAAATGGGAACGAGGGATCAGCTGCTCAAACAGATTCAGGCCTATCAGACCAATCAGGCGAGGGTATCTGACCAACACACTCACTCATCCACTCAGTCAGTGCATCCGTCGCTCATCGGTTGCTTTGTGTTGTTTGTTTGTGTTTGCTGTGGTGTGCAGGTCAACAATGGCATCGGCCGACTCACTCAAATGGACACCGCTATGATCACACCACTGGTGCGGCCAGACTACCACACTCAGCACAACGGCCTCTGTGTCATGATCCCTCGTGTGATTCATCAGATGGTGGCCAATGTCAGTCGTCAACTCGCCAACGAATCGGCCCGTCTGGCCCAGCTGGCGGATACCATCGACTCGACCATCGCACTCACAACACACCCCCACTCAGGTGAGAGAGAGTCCACCCACACACACACACACAGCTGCATGTTTGTCTTTGTGTGTGTCGTCAGGCTCGGCGGTTGCAGGTGTATGACATTCCCGCCGAGCCAATAAGTATCATCCTGGCACTCTCTGACCTCACCACGGTCGCCCACCTCAAGTCGACAGCCCGCCACTTCACCAACGCCATCCGACCGATCATCCGCAATATTCGGCTGCCGAACGCCATCGAGGGGGCGGGGGCTAGTGGCGTGGTGCAGTTCGACCCCCAGCTGAGCCACGGCGATGTGATGAAGGCCATGTGGGTGGTGGAGGAGGGGGGCGAGGGCGGCTGGGGGGAGGTAGGCGACACACTGAGAGTCGCCGAGTACTGTGGCAATTGCCAGCTGCCGATCACTGTGGATGGTGCAGATCTGCAGACACACGCCACCAAGGCGGTAAACACAACACACAGAAGAGGCAATGGGTGAGCTGCTGGTGTGTTGGGTGCAGAATTTCTTGGCGCTGCCCCGTGTGTTTGCGCAGTGGATGCTCGTCGATCGCCATGTCGTCTTCCGTCGCCCCACTGGCCAGCAGGACGGCACACTATAGCTGTTCCGCCACAACAACAACGATATTCGGATCATCCGCAATGAGCCCAACTTCACCATCACACTCAACCCGCCGCTCCCCCTCCCCACCGACCGCCCCGTCCATGCCTTCTCGCAGCACCCCTTCCAGCAGCACGCCAAGCCACACGACCCTCCAGTCCGCAGCCGCATTGGATGGCAGCATGGTGTGGGCTGGGTGACGATTGGCGTCAACGACGGGCCTCTTTACGCATCGGCGAGTTCCATGTTGAAGGACCTGGTCCTGTGTCACCGGCTGTTGGCTCTGGGCGGCTCCACCGACTCGCCAGCAGTGGCGGTGGACCGGTAAGTGGATGGGAGGCACACAATGAGAGGGCGAATGGCTATGTGGTGCGTCATTGATGTGTGTGTCAGTCGTGTGCGTGGCGGCCACCTCGACCGCATCATGACTCAATCGCCACATACACCGCCCAATGGATGCTCGAACGTGTTGACATGGGAGGCGGCCGATGGGATCTGTGCACAGCTGCATGTACTGACGTCATCCAACGACCCGTTCCTCGCAGAGATTGCCTTTGGCATCTTCCCAGGCGACAACCAGAGCGGTACGCATACACATTGACAACACATCATCATGCTGTCGTCTTGTCTGATCATCTGCTGTTGTCTGAATGCAGTGCGCGTCATCATCCGTACCACCGAGGCGCCAGCAGCAGCTGTCCCTCAGGATGCGCCCTTCGCCCAGCGATTCCTCCTGACGGCCGCCAAGGTGCGTTGCGTCCTCGGGCCCATCGCATCCATCGTCCTCGACGGCCAGGCGCCATAGATACAGGGTGAGAGCCACACAGGTGATGCAGAGGACCTGATGTATGTGTCCATTGTGTGTGTTTGTTGGTGTGGGTTCTGCAGGGCGGCTGGATGGCGAGCGGACTGGGTGCTGCATGATGGACAGACAGATGCGTGTGTGCGCAAGGTCTGGGCGTGACGATGCGTGTGTTGAGAAGATTATTCCCACATCGCATAGCCGATCGGTCATAAGTCGTCTCTGTCCGGCAAACCTATCTATGCACGCCCCCATCATAAACTAAGCCATGCACTAGAGCCCCCTCCCCTGCCCTAATACCACTATCACCCCTTGTCCACCGTCTTGGGGTCCGTCATCCAGTTGATGGCCTCATGCTCAGTCACCTTCTTGCCGTCGCTGCTCACCAGCTGCAGGTCATAGTCCGCACACTGGCCGTTGCCGCCTGCTGTGGTGCCAATCGTGTCGATGAAGACGCTCAGCAGGCCGTAGTTGCGGTCTTGCACTCACCCGAGGTGGTCGAATAAGTAGTGGCCCGGCAGCCGGGCTGACAGCTCACGGGCGCGATATGATGCTGTACTCGTGGCCTCCGTCAGCGGCTGCCGTACCACAGCTCGTTGACGAGAAATGGCCTCGGTGTGGCGGCAATCAGCTTTCGTACGGCTGCATTCTCGCGCCAGAGGTCGCACATCTGACATGCGCACACATGCAGCAGCAGATATGGTGTATCACAGCTGCACAGATGCAGTCACCGACCTCTCCTTCGAAGGCCTCCATTTCTCGCTGGTTGGGCTGCCGTGTGGGACGAGTTGAGCGTCGGGATGGGCTGAGGCTCGTTGATCACCCAGTAAAGCGGTGCTGGCTGGGCCAGCTGCCGCAGCTGGTCTACATGGGCACACCGACGTAGTGGAGGATTGTCATTGTTGACGAGGATTCCCTTGCCCTCGTAGCGCTCGTACACCGACACACTGCACCATCATTCATTGAACACCACGCAGATGCAGCGGACTGGCGAGTTGGATGTGTGTTGGTCTTTCAGTGTTACCGGAGAAGGCTGCTTTTCACCAGTGTCAGGGCGCAGGTAAGGCTTCGCTGCCTCGCCCTCAGCAGACATCCTTGCAAACGGGCAGATCTATGAATCCACCAAATTCGAACGTCCTCGTGAAGTCATTGGCAGCCAGCGTGAGCCCTCCTAGGGCGTTTCGAGCCGGTTGGGCGAGTGGAGCTTGGAGGAAAGAACATTTTTGGCTCGCAGAGATCGGTGAAACCGCTCACAGCTACAGACTCGGGTTTCTAGTCAGGTCTCCGCATCGCACACTTTGCCTGTGCGGCATTGACATCATCATCATCGCACCAAGATGACGCTCATATATGCCCTTGTGGCCAGGGGTGAGGACGAACGACGCAGGAGCACCACATTGCTTGACTCTCTGTGCTTGTGTGTATCCGTCCGTCCAGGGAGGACGGTGTTTGCGGAACACACCGACAAGTGAGTCGTCTGACAGGCGGGGGAGGGAGGGAGGGGTGAGGAAGAGATCCATTGAGATCTGTGTTGCTTGTCTGTCTGTCTGTGTATCTGTCTGAAGGATTGGCAACTTCACCACAGTGACACGGTGAGCAGGACACAGGGGAGTTCACGGATCACCAAACCGTCGCAGTCTTGAAACACTGCGTGTGACGTTGTTGTTTCGTTCTCTGCAGTGTGCTACTGGGGAAGCTGCCGGAGGACCCGCCGCGAATGTCGTACCTGTACGATGGGTAGGCCACTGATTCATCCCTGCCCCTCACGACAGACAGCAGACACCTCACTCAGCACGGTGTGTTGCTCTCTGTCTGCCTGTGCGTCTGTCTGCAGGTACGTGTTTCATTATCTGTACCACGCGGGCCTCACGTATCTGGTCATGTCGGAGCGGGAGGCCGGCAGGCGGATACCCTTCGCATTCCTGGAAGACATCAGCCAACGGTACGGCAGACACACACACACACCGATCGATCGACCGATCAGGTGGCACATGAGCGAATCGTGGACCTGCAACCGTTGCAGGTTTGAGTCTTCGTACGGTGATGTGTATCGCCACGCCATTGCCTTCGCCATGAACGACGAATTCGCACCCGTCCTCGCTGAACGAATGGTAGGCAGATCAACACTGACACGACAGTGCCCTACGCACACAATCAGTGGTCGTGTGTTGTGTTGTTCTGTGTGTTCACCTACACACACCATCAGTACTTCTTCAACACGTCCCCCGGGGCAGACGAGTTCAGCCGCGTGAGGTCGCAGATCGACGAAGTCCAAAACGTCATGATGGACAATATCGGTACACACACACACACGTGCATCTCTCGGGGGCATACTGACTGTCTGCCCGTGTTGGGTGTGTGTATGTGTGCCGCAGAGCGGATATTGCAGCGTGGCGAGAAGATCGATCTGCTGGTGGACAAGACGGAGGACCTCAACAGGAGCGCATTTGAGTTCCGGCGGGGCGCGCACCGACTCAAGCGGACCTACTGGTGGAGAAACGCACGGCTGCTCATGGCCATGATACTCGGCGCCGCGGTATGCGTGTGGCCACGATAAGTGTGGGTCGGTCGTGCAATGTGTTGTGCTGTGTTGTGTGTGGCAGATCTTGATCTTTATCATCGTGACGTGGTCGTGCGGTGGCTTTGACTACCACCGATGCAGACCACGACACAAGTGACTCCGAGTGATCCGTCAGCGTCAGCTGATGTGTGTGTGGTCGTTCGTCACCGAGTACAGGCAGAGAGGGAGGGAGGGACCCGGGGTGTCAGTTAGTGCTGTAAGTAAGGTGTAGGCAAGTGTGCAATGTCAGGTTTCGGTTCCGGTTTCGGTTTCGTTGGTGTGTATAAGGGTCAGCATCGGTGGATGCTCGTGGTGTTTTTCGTGGATTATATCGGCCGCCTGTCTGCCCGTCCGGCTCATGGGTGGCGGCGAGAGAGCAAAAGCGGTCTGACTCTTTCTTGGTGATGCCGTGAATGCGTGTGCCAATCCCGACCTGTACTAACCGTCCAGTGCCCCGCGAGGCACTCAAGGCGCCGCATGCCACAGACTGCGCGCTTTTGGGTGGGGGCCATGGGGGTCGCAATCAAAAGACGGGACAGAAAGCAAGACATGAACTCGTCACGAGGGCGTCTTGGTCATCGCGCTCACGACAAGAAAGAGATCTCTGAGGCCCCCGGCCCCTGGTGACCCGCTCCCTGCACAAACACATCGCATCAGCAGCTGAGGGGCAGGCAATCATCTCTTTCTGCTCCAGAAAGCTGAGCTTATGGAAGCTGCATAGCGGTGTTCCCGTGCTCGCACCCTGAGAGGCCTTTCCCTTTAGCTATTGTGGGTGTCGCCGGAGTCTCAGACCGACAATGAGGGGCTCGGGTCTCTCGTGGTTTATGGTGGCTCTGCTGGTTACCTCTTCCTTCCCCCTTCTGCATGCCCAGACCTACACTCTCGTTTTCGACCCGGACCCACCTCCGTCCGTGGCCCTGGGTGACTCCTTAGCCGTGGATGTGCAGGTCCATAATAGTCTACTTCCAGGACTTGATACCGGCATTGGTGGGATGGACGTCCTGCTGCTGCTCAAACCTGCCGTCGGCGGCTGCTGCACCTCAACCGTCGGCTTGTTCGGCGCACGCAAGCAGGGAATCTCTCTTGGAGTGGCAACTTTCACTGGGCTGAGTATCAACGAGGCGGGCGAGTACATACTGGAGGCCTTCATCCACGACTCCCCCCCGGGAGGGGCGACCGTTGCGGGCAATTCGAGCAGTTTTGTGGTCGATCAGGTGCCCGACCGGCTGGCCTTTCGCCAGGCGCCTACATCTGGCATTGCTGGGCAGCCATTCGCCGACATGCCCATCGTCGCTGTCCGCGACTCGCCCGGCAACCGGCGAGTGCGCACATACACGGGAGACATCCACCTCTTCTTCAACGGGCCAGCGGGTTTCACCGTCACGGGCATCACCACACAGACCGCTGTTAAGGGGATTGCTCAGTTTTCATCTCTTACGGTCGATACGCCGGGCAGCTACACTATCACGGCAGTGGCACAGGACCCTGGGATCACTGCAGCCACGACTGCGTCCTTCACGGTATTGGCCGGGACTGCCACAGCCCTCGCCTTCTCAACGCAGCCTGTGGGCGATACAGGAGGGCAAGTTCTCTCCACCTCGCCGGTCGTGCAGGCCGTGGACAGCACTGGAGCACCGGATACGACTTTCAACTCCCCCATTACCGTCACCCTCCTCACCAGCGGCCCTTTGCTGCCGCCCGGGGCGGGGCAGACGACATGTGGCGGCTTGACTATGGTGGGAACCAAGACCGTCGGCGCAGCGCCCAGCGCGACCTTTAACGATCTTGCTATCGACCGAGCGGGCACCTTCCGGCTGCAAGCGACGGCGCACGGGCTCACGACGGGCATCTCTGACCCATTCACCGTCGCGGTCGGTATCCCTGCGGGGATTGTGTTCACTCTGCAGCCGCCCCCTCGCGTGACAGTGGGCAGCAACATCCAGATCGACTTGCAACTTGTGGACGCGGGAGGCAACGACTGGACCACTACACCAAATCGCGCCGTGACCCTTGACCTGTGGGATCCATCCAGTGGGAGTTATGTCACGTTGGGAGGCCTGCCGACCCCTTCATGCACCACATCAAGCGGCGCCTGCTCTATCGCAACTGTGCGAGTCCCCCAGGCCGGCAGCTCCCTGCAGCTCCGCGCTAGGGTGACTGCCGACACTCTGGAACAGTTTTCCTCTTTTTTCGACGCCTCATTCGACTCGGGCATCGAAGTGACGGACGCCGGCGGCACCTGCCTCTCGCCCCACGCGACAGAGACCAGCCCTCCGACCATTGGCATGACCTACCGGCTGCGTCTCACCCGGCCGCCCATCGACGACGTCGATATCACGCCGGTTGAAGAGGGGGGGCCCACATACCTCACCTTTGCGCCGACCACACTCACCTTCACGGACAGCGACTATGCCACTCACCAGACCGTCGCCGTGACTGTAACCAACTTCAACGTCAGGGGTCCTGCGGTGGTCACCGTCACACACACCCTCACCAGCACCGACCCGGCCTACGCGCAGAACGTGCCCCAGTGGACAGCTCCAATGGACGCCACCGGCCGGTTGCAGCTCACCATCTCCGGCGACGACGGCCCCCACCTGGTGCGGCTGTCCCCCTGGGCCGTCCAGGTGCGCGAGGGCGCCTCAACTACATACGGCATTTATCTCGACGCCGAGCCCGCTGCGCCGATAGAGATCTTGATATCGCCGCCATCGAAAGTGACGGTGTCCGATCGGACTGTGACGATCCTTCCTACCGACTGGACGGCTCCCGGCTCCGCAGCTGTCAAGACCATCACGGTGACGCCTGTGCGAGACATCGTCAAAGGGGCCACCTCCAGGGAATTCTTCAACATCCAACACCACATTCTGTCTTCAGGGGGAGAGGGTCTGTCCCCCACTACGGGCGACGTGACTGTGGCTGTGCTGGAGGCCGATGCCGAGGTGGTGCTGGTGGACCCCGTGGCGCTTGTGGCGGTCGAGGGGAATTCGGTGTCTTTCGCCGTCGCACTCAACACGCCCGCGACGGGCACGGTGACAGTCACCACCACTTGCGACGGGACCTACACGCAGGTTGCCGGCGGCTCACCTTTGACTGTAAGCAGGGAATGAGGGCATGTAGATCCATACAGCTGGCCAGTAAAGCGGCTTGCGTGTCTGTGCTCTTTCTCTCTCTCAGTTCAACTCGGGAAACTGGGCGGTTCGTCAGACAGTGGATATCATCACTTTGGTTGAGGACGACGACACGCTGTTTGATACGGTCGCCTGCACGCTGGGCGTCACCGGCTACGCGAGCGCATTCGAGCCATCAGAAACCGTGTCCGTCACCGTTGGTGCGTGAGACACACACGCACACACACACACACACACACAGAGAGAGAGAGAGAGAGAGCAGTGCAGAAGAGGCATCGTTGGATGTGTGTGTTGGTTCGGTGGTGCAGTGCACCAGATCTGCCCACTTGGGACGTTCGGCCCCGACTGCGCCCCCTGCCCGGTAGGGTCGGCGTGCTTCGCCGGCGACGTGTCCACGTGCTACCCCGGCGAGACCATGCACCCCAACAAACACATCTGCATCCCATGCCCTCCGGAATACATGTACACATCTACAACACACATGCCCTCTCTCACCAAAGTGCACGCACTCGTGGTCTCCCCACCTCTCTCTCTCTCTCTGTGTGTGTGTGTGTGTGTGTCTGCAGGTGTCCGACCGCAGATGTGGAGCCCTTCTACTGCGAGGCGGGCACGTACGCCCTAGGCAATGCGACCGAGTGCTCCCCGTGCCCTCGAGGCAGCGCCTGCCCCGGACGCGGTATGGACCCTGTGCCCTGCCCACCGGGATGGTTCTCGATCGAAAACTCCACCAGCTGCACGGCCTGCCCCAAGGGCCACTATTGCGACGACCCTGCTGTGATGCCTGTGGCATGTGCCACTGGGGAGTATGCCATGGGGCAGGCTATTGAGTGCATCAGCTGCCCCCCTGGTGGGTGGATTGGGTGGGATGAGTGAGACACATGCCATGTCCACGAGTGTGTGTGATGGTTGGGTGTGGTTACAGGTTTCTTTTGCCCCGATCCAACGCGCATGCCCCAGGCGTGTCCACGAGGTGAGTGCGTGTGCGTCGTAGTGGTGGCGGTGCACCGATCCACCTGTGTGTGTGTGTATATTGTGTGTCATACGCAGGGACGTACAGCGAGATGGGGGAGACCAACTGCACTTCCTGCCCCGCGGGGGAGTCGTGTCTCGAGCCTTTTATGTCACCTCCAACCCAGGTATGGACTCACACACCCCGTGCACATTGGATTGGTCTTCCTGACGGTGGTGGATGGGATGGTGGTGTGTTCAGACGTGCCAGCTGGGTACCTGCTCTCTTGCAGGCGACCCCGAGTGCCGGCCATGCCCCAGAGGTGAGCAAAGCAGGTCCCCTGGATTGGCGGATGGTGCATTGGGTTGGGTGCAGGCTACCACTGCCCTAACAAGGATGAGGAGCCCGTCGCGTGTGAGCCGGGACAGATCTCAGGGACAGGGAGCACGACATGCGACGACTGCCCTGTGGTGAGTGAAGCAGCCGGGCGGAATAACACACATTTGGCCAGCCAGCCATGTGTGCCTCATTTCTTTCTTTCTTCCGTTCTGTCCAGGGCCATCGCTGCCCGGCGCCGTGGGGCCCGGCCAGGGAGTGCGAGTTGGGCGAGTGGGCTCCGGCTAGATCGACAAAATGTGACCGGTGCCTCCCGGGAAACATTTGCGCCACGACACACAACGCAGTGAACCCACTTGGAGATGAGGAGTGCCCCATTGGGTTCTACTGCGAGCCGGGGCTGCCGAGACCTTGCCCTGCGTACGTAGGCACACGTGCAATGGGCAAGGCGCGACAGAAAGAGATGAATTTGTGGATGTGAATCCTTTGGCTGCGTGCATGTGTGTGTGTGTGTGTGTGTGCAGGGGGTATTACAATGACCTGCCAGGGCAAGGCTCCCTGGACAACTGCAAAATCTGCACTGCTGGCAAATACTGCCCCGCTGGTCACACACACTCCCACACAGAAGCTCACTCGCTATAAATGTCTCTGTCTGTGTGTGTGTGTGTGTGTGTGTGTGTGTCTGTATGCAGGGTCTGTGGCGGCCGACCACGACTGTCTGCCGGGCTACTTCTGCCCCGAAGGCAGCAAGAACCCGGGCGACCTCTACCACGCCTGCCCGGGGGGCACATACAATCCCTCAGCCGCACAGGTCACACACACACGCACACACACACACACACACCATCTCTCTGTGTGTGTGTCTGTGTCTGTGTGTCGAATGGGTGGCTCTGTTCTGGTTGATGTCTCTTCCTTGGCGCGTCCCTCCATACTCACTCCGTAGGGCACGGCCCCTCCCGTCCCTCCTGAAGACGATTGCCTAGCGGTACGGGCAGCCGACGAGGAGCGCATCCTC